CTGTTCCTTTTCCAGTACCATGCTGTTTTTTTCACAGTGGCTTTGTAGTACAGTTTCAAATTGGGTATTGTGACACCCCCTGCCTTGTCTTTGTTACCTACAGCTACTTTTGCTATTCTAGGTCTCCTCTTGTTCCAAATGAATTTTTGGATTGTTTTCTCAAGGTCTGTGAACTATGCTGTTGGAATTTCAATTGGGATTTCATTGAATCTATATAGCAGCTTTGGAAGTATGGCCATTTTCACTGTATTGGTTCTTCCTACCTAGGAATAAAGGATGTCTTTCTACTTTCTGATATCCTCTTCGGTGAATGTAATTTCCTATCCTCTGTTGTGGACAATACTAAATTAAAATAATTTCTAGAAAGTATCAGCTGACCAGTGACAGGTAATGATGGTAATGACCAAAGCAGTACTTAATGGGTATTAATTATTAATGAACAAGTGTACTTATAACTGCATTTTCTTTAAAACAAAGTCATCAATCTTACATTGGAATATCATCATTTATTGACTAGATACAATATTTGAAAGAATAGTGATGAAATATCAGTGCCTGAATACTTCCTTTGAGAGGTTTAACTAGAACATGCATAATTATGTCCCAAATGATGAATTTAATGTATAAGCAATTTTTATAAACATACTCCTGTGCAGTTTTAAATAAGAAATATGATTCATGTCAAGTGCTGCAGCAGCCTTCCCCTGCCCCCGAGGGTGTCCATATGAGGTGTTCACTATCCATCAGGTTCTCTAGAGCCACCCTCTATTGCCTGTTGTCCATTCACACAAGGCTACTCAGAGACTTCCAAGTCAGCTTCCACAACAGAAGCAGAGGACCTGAGTTTCAGATTCCAGTGCACCACTGTATGGCCATGTGATCTTGGACATTCTTCTGCTCCGTCTGAGCACTAACTAGTTTTTCCTCATGTGTAAGATGAGGGATGAGAGGCCCTCTGTCTGGGAGTTTTCCCAACTGTAAGTGCAAGTGTACCTGTAAACATGCCAATTCACCTATTTTGTGGCACAGAGCAGCCTTTAGTAACAAGCTGTGTCTGTTCTCTCCCCTAACTCATGTGCTCAGACATGCTTACCAACCATGCAGTGGGGCCTGGTACCCAGGAAATTGCTGAGTTTTGAGAACACTGGCTGTGACAACCACCATGTGTCACCTCTTGGAGAAAAACAGCGGAGCGCCATGCAGAGGAGGAAAGCAGGAGGAGATGGCTGCATCAGGCAGGTCTCACTATATATGCCAATTAGAACAGAACTCCATTAATTTCAGTAATCTTATAATCTACCAATACTCTTCAGAGGTAGGAAAACTTTACATACAGTATCCCAGTGGAAATATTTCTGAATTACAGACACATAGGTACAGAAAAATTCAATCATGAGTAAGGTGCAAACAGAAACTGAAAAGCGTAAAAGCTCCTGTTCTGTATATCAGAAAACTGTTTTCTTCCCAGCAGGTAGGAAATTCCTAACAGAGTTTTTCAAAATAAATGAATAGAAAAATAAAAAGACTGGAAAATGAGATTATTTCTTATGTTTCATCCAGCAGAGAATAGATTTTTATTAATCATTTATAGAAATCTCCCAATGGTCAGATCCTGAAACTAGATTCTCAACCATGTTGTCAATATTAGAGTAACTGGTTGGCAGGAAGGCAATAAATAGAAAACAAATATAAAATTAGTTAGGTGAAAAATTGAATTATAAAATTAAACACTGAGATAATACTCAGAAAAAATAGAATCAGTAAAGTGCAACTGTGCTTTGAATACACCTAGAAGAGTCAGGAAAACACAGTTTTGGACTTCAACTGAGTATGAGGGACACATCTCTTATGAATGTTTATAAGTAAGTCCACTGAGTATATGCTTGTGGCCTGTGAAACAGTCATATGCTATTTTCAAACAGTAAAGTCATGATATTCACTCAAATATGAAATGGAATTATTCTGAAAGAATCTGTTTAACTTATGAGAGAAGTGAAAGATATTATAAACACTTGACAGAAGAATCCAAAGAGCAGACATAGAAATATTTATCATGAATATTTAAGTAACTTTATAAATGGAAGCAAAATTCCTTTTATTACACCATGATCAGGGAGAAAAATGGACCTCTACCAGACAAGGGATTCTGCATTTCTTTCTGTGACCAGTGGTTTACAAAGGAATGATGCAGGCTTGAATCAGAGAACCTGAGTCTGTGTGCTAACAATGCAATATTTTCATTGAAACAGAACTGTTTGCTAGAATGTTAAAGTCTAGAAGAAAGGTAAGAGCTTCCTCACAAAAATGTATCCAATTACTAGGGTGACCAGGTTCCTATATGGACATTCATAGACAGAGGCCTAACCAGAGCCCAGTGGACACCAATAATATCGCAAAGCCCAGGCTGTCACAAAGGCAGCTCCTGACCAGTGAGAAGCACAGAGAGACAACCAGGTGGCCACAAGCACTGCTGTTTTGAGAGGCTCAGGCTGGGACAACTGAAATCAAGCTAGGACAACTGAAGCCAAACACAGCAAGCATCATGGCTGGGAAGAAAAGAAGGCAGAACTCCTCTAAACCTAGGAAGCAGGCAGTGTCCCGGTCCACAAGAGCAGAGCTGCAGTTTCCCGTCAGCCGTGTGGAGCGTTGCCTGAGAGAGGGTGGCTATGCCCATCGCCTGGGCTCATCCACACCAGTGTTCCTTGCTGGGGTTCTCAAGTACTTGAGAGCCAACATCCTGGACCTGGCTGGCAAGGAGGCCCAGGGCAAGCGCAAGAAGTGCATCGCCCCACAGCACCTGGAGACAGCGATGGAGAACAACCAGCATCTCCGTCCCCTTTTCCAGGATGGCCCTAAGTCTCTGCTTGATGAGACGTCCCAACCCAAGAAGAAGTGATGAGGCCTGGGTTCCAGAGCATGGCAAGACCTTATCCACCTCCTCATCCAGCCCTCAAAACACCCATAGATGAGGGAGCCCTTGCTCCCAGCCTTGCCAATAAAGTGATTAAACCAATGCCAGTTGTTTGTTCTGACTCTTTTCAGTTTCTGTCATTTTGAGTTAGAGGTGTTGATGGGCATCCAGCAGGAGCTGCCCATTCAAGGTTGGAAGGGTGGAACCTATTGTCAGCATGGGGCTTTTGAATCAATGATTTTTAGGGGAGGAGTTTCAGTGGGATCGGTGTGGCCAGTGGCCTCAGGGATGGAGCTGGCTAGAGTAGAAGGCTGAGAAGACATTCTGAGGGGCCCTGAGGAAAGAAGACCCAGGAAGTAGGCTGGCAGCCTTCCAGGAATATTGAATTCCCAACATGATGCTGGCAACCGGGCAAATCTGCAGACCATCACTTAAGTGGGGAAGGTTTTTTTCATGGCAAAAAAGGTCTGAAATCCGAACGCTACAGCAATATATTTGTCAGGCAATAGGATACTATACTGTTGCCATCAACTACTGGGAAAGGAGTATTTAAATGAAAATTTAGCAGTCATCTAGAAAATAAAAATAAATGTACAAAAAAAATTTAAAAAAATAAATGTACATAATCAGAATTATGGTCATGATGATTTAATTGATTGTTCATTTATAGTTTTGTACTCTCATATAAAAGTTGAACCTAAACAGAGATTGATGGCTAGTGCTGGGATATTTTATGTGTAATATTTCCTCTGTTTTCTTATGGACATAGCTACATTCAAAATAATATTACATAAGCACTAATATCTGGTCTAAGAAATACAATTAGTTGTTAATGGTTACTGAATATTACTGGGCTTATTATTGCATTTCATTGTAAACACAATTATCAACCTCATTCCCAAAAGAAATACATAACTTGCTTGTGATCAGGTATGTCATAGAGCAAGATAGATACATCAGGGCTGAGTATATGTTTGGAGAGGCATACATATACTCTTTAAATCCTATCTCAAATTACTTAAAGCTCACGCAGTTCTTATAAACATACTCATGCACTATTTTAAATTAGAAATTGGATTCTCATGAAGCCTTGAAGCAATCTTTCCCTTTCTTCTGAGGGTCTACATTTGAGGTTTTCGCTGTCCATCAGGTCTTCAAAGCCACCCTCTGCTGCCTGGTGGCCTTTCACACAGAGCTACTCAGAGGTTGCCCTATTGGCTTCCACAACAGAACCAGAGGACCTGGGTTTCCAACCATAGTGCATCAGGGGACCTGGATTTCCAACCACGGTGCAAAATGAAGTATAAGACTCTTTTATCTGAGAGTTTTGCTAAATATAAATCCATGTGTGTCTGCAAACTGCCACTTCACCCAACATGTGCCACAAAGTAGTCCTTAATAAGTATCTATATTTTCCACCTACTCTAACCAACATGTTCAGGTATGTTTCCCCATGCTGCAGCTGGATCTGATGCTCAGGTGATTGCTAAATGTTGGGGCCTGACTGTAATACCTGCCTTGTATGGCTCATAAATGAGACAGAAGAGGGAGAGATGCAACAGAAGAGGGAGAGATGAGGTAATGGACACACCAGACAGGCCACATTCTGCTTCCCTCTTTGTTCCTTCTAAGCGGTGATTCACCCTGTCTCTGCCTGTGTGGAAGTAGAACAACCTTGCGTAGCCTTTGGCTAACTAAGAAGTATCCCAAGAAGGACAGAAATAGCTTCAGTGTTGTGCTTAGGACTTTTTGAAGCCTTTGCTTGTAGAAACCCAATGTATTAGTCACCTTTCTCACCAACAAATTTAAGTACATGCCTATGGTTGGTTGGATCCAAAGCAGAAACATCATGGCATAAAGTTGTAACAGAGCAAAGATCCTTAGTAAATGGTGGCTGTACCAGCAAAGAAGGGGCAAGGAATGAGATATAGTATCAAAGTCATGCCTCCATGACCCACTAAGGCATACCCAGATGTGTATGCTGCCAATCTCCTGAGAAGCTACCAAGCCAATCAAGTTGACATAATTGTCTATTTATTTATTTATTGAGTTTATTGGTACATTTTAGGTATACCTTATGATCACATTCATCATTGAGATTTTGTACCTGTACATGGCATATCTTGGTTCTTATTTTTTTCCCATTCCCCTGCCCTTCTTTCAACCCCTCCACTCCTCCCTATATACATAAGCTTTGTTTCCATTTTTTCCTTCTTTTCTTCAATTAGTTTTCTTTCCCTGCTTTCTTTTCCCCTGCCTCCCTCCTTAGTTCCCCTTCTGCTTTGAATATTTTCTTCTTATTTCACAATGTCTATTAAACATTGTGGTCCTCATTTACACTTTAGTTTCTCACACAGAGAAACAACTTGATATTTACTCATGTGTGTCCTATTTATTTCACTTAAGAGTATGGCCTCAAAGTGCACCCATTAAGCTATAAATGTCTCAAGTTTATCTTTTTTTATAGCTGAGTAGTATTCCATTTTATAAAAAAAACACACATCTTCTTTATCCAGTCACCAATTGGTGGGCTTTTGGGCTGTTTCCAAGATTTAGCTATGACAAACTGTGCCACTATAAACATGGATGCACATATATCGCTCTGGTATGATGCTTCTAATTCTCTCAGGAAAATACCTAGCAGGGAAAAGCAGGATCAAATGGGATCTTTAATACTAGTTTTTGAGGAATCTCCACACTGAATTCCACAGTGGTTGCACCAGTCTACACTCGCACCAACAGTGGAGAAGGGTTCCTTTTTCCCCACAACCCAGCCACCATTTGTTATTGGTTGGTTTCTTGATAGCAGCCATTCTTTCTGGAGTGAGATGGAATCTTAGTGTTGTTTTCATCTGCATCTCTCGAATGACCAGTGATGTTGAATATTTTTTTCGTACATTAATCTGCTGTTTCTACTTCTTCATCTGAGAAATATCTGTTCATTTCAGATGCCCATTTTTTGATTGGGTCTTTAAATTTGGGAGGTCTGATTTTTAAAATTCTTTATATATTATAGATAGTAGACCTTTGTCTCAGGAACAGCTGGTAATAATTTTTTGCCACATTGTGGGTTGTCTCTTCACTCTGCTGGTGGTTTCTTTTCCTGTGCAGAAGTTTTTAAATAAGATGAGATTCCAGTTGTTGATTCTTTGTGCTAGATACAAGATCAACACTCAAAAATCAATAGCCTATTTGTACATGAGTAACAGACTCACTGAGAGAGAAATTGGGGAAATAATTCCTTTTACAATAGCATCCCAAAAGGTATTTCCAAAGATTTAGAGAAGGAGTTTTCAGGCAGCACTCTCAAGAGCAAAGTGGAGGGTTAAGTGTGATCTGGCTGGTAGACAAAAAATGCAAAAATGCCATGGGGACATGGGACAAAGTAAGAACTAGAGATCAACCTTTTTTATTTTTTTGACTCAAGTAAAGAAAAGCAGTAAGGCCTTAGGTGCATGGCAACAAGAATTTTGGAGAGAAGGTGAGCCTGTCCCAGCACCCAGAAAGAAGCTCCCCCGCCACCATCCCATGCTCCTAGGGCAGAGAAGGTGAGCCAAGCAGGCGCTAGAAACACCCCTCCCATGGAAATGAGAAGACACGTAAACAAGTCTCAAATCAGACTTCCGGATCACCTACAGCAACCCCAAAGGGAAATGAGATGGAACAATCTGATACTCAATCACCTGGACTCTCTGAACTGGCAAACATAAAAGAGGATCTGGGAAAAACGATATCAGAAAGAATTACTCAGATAACAGCAAAGATTGTGCACATGGTGCAAGACATGATTAATAAATCTAGAGAGGACACAGATA